CAACTCATTACAAATTTAGTGCGTAAATGGTGTTTAATTGTCATTACAGCTCGGAACCATTCAATGTTAACGGCGTTCGCAAAACGTTACTGCTCTTTAATCCGACAAATTATGCGAACATGAAAGAATAAAATCCCTCAATAGAACATATTTGAGAGCTCTTTTTTTAATTTTCCTCCAAATCATCGAAAATATATTCGCAATCAAATCCGTTAAATTGCACCAAAAGCAATTTTCTTTATAATTCACTGTTAAATTCATGAGGAAAATTACTGGACCGTATAATAATTGCGAGATGCTAGAACGCTGCTCTATCATTTTTTAGTAACAGTAATATCTTTTTCAAATTTATGGAACTGAAATTAAAAAACAATTTTATATGCAACTTACTGCATCTGTGGAATAAAATTATCATTGGACTTATTGTTATCAATGGAATATCATTATTATAAATTTTAAAGGTTTTAGATTCTGAAAAAACTAGATTTTAGTTCAAGAAGATAAGAGATTTAATTGATTTCTAAGCTTATTTTATTTTAAAATACATATGGGGTAATAGCTTGTAATAAACAAAAATTACAAATCTTATTAAAGTACATTCTTACAAATAATATTCAACCAATTGCATAAAATTTTATTAGAATGAAATTAATTATTTCCCACTATCAATTAAAGAATTAATAAGACAAGGACATATACATCATGGATTAGAATGAAAATTGTATAAGAATTAACTGTAATTCAAAAACAACTGATCGCTGATGACATGTGTAATTTTTCATACAGCTAAAACATCAAGAGTGATAACAGTGCTGCCTCAAAGTCAGTGTATAGTGCCGTTACTTAGATTCGGTTTGACTGAAAATTTCAGTAAATTTTTTAGTAATTTCAGTAAATACATTTCATTTTACTGTCATATTTGATACTAAAATAATAAAAATGATTATTCATCTTATTAAATTTCCACGTTTATTATTTTTGACCGGCTCGCTAGACAGAAAGAAAAATTAACTTGAATCAAGTAAATAATTTTGAAGAACTTTATCTTATTGATGTGAGTGGAAAAATTCTTAAAGTAAGAAATTTCTCTTGGTTTAAGTAAATTTACTTGATTTAAGAATTTTTCGTCTTAATTCAAGTTAATTTTTTTTTCAGTGTACAGTAAAAATAAATGGCACTTTTTTATATTTTTGACGTTGAATTTTTGGATATATCATTATAATCATTAGCAGGATTGTACGTAGATCAGGAATTTACCACACTGCAAATCCACTCCAAAATTCAATGCTTTATTTTAACATACACATCATGTGTGAATTATGCTTTGACGCCATAAGAAAACTATAGATTTTAACACACCATAAGACGTGTATAAAGTGATTACAAAAAATTAAAATTCATGTGCGTTAAAACAATACAGTTATAGGTTTTGCAGAACATTACTGTCATTTAAAAATACTCGTTTTTAAGCAAAATTTCTTTCCATGCAAAATTAACTTCGTAAAATTATCTACGCAGACGAGCTTGAATAATTACTATGCAATTACTATGCAGGAGATATTGTACACGGATTTAATTGCCAAGAATCCGGAGATCAGAAGGAGGAGGATCGAGGGTAAGGGATGGAGTAAGAGCATAATTAATGAGCCGAAAATGATTGACAGGAATCGATATGGATTAAGATTCATCTAGGTAATGGATATGTAAAGATCATCTCAGTGACTAACTAGGCCGCTACCCCTATTTAGAATGTTCGCCACAGCCCTGAAGGCATGACACGTACGTCCGACGTACGATGAGTTTATGCGGGCGTAGCCAGCGGTACCCCAGACAAACGGAGTCCTGAGCTTACCCTGTCGTTGACAGCCTTCTCTCTGGTCCTCTAGCGCTGTCTCACCCCCTCACCCTCTCACCCTTTCTCACTCTTGCTCTCTTGTCCCTGTCTATGTACCTACATTATACATACAAAGACTGCTCCTCTATCCCTCTATATCCTTTATTTTCGCTGAACAACCAAACTTGTTATATTAATACACTGCTCAACTGGCTGTTTCCTTGACAACTGGACGAAACAGAGAAGTGTGTGTCAACATTCCTTCTCAGCGAGTTTACTTATTATTATATTTTAATTATTTTTATTCATTTCAAGGAAAATTTAATTTTTAACTGAGTTTTTTATTTTCAGGTGATAAAATGAAAGTTTTTACGACTTATTTCAATTTTTTTGTGTTCTCTATTTTCTAAAAACAGTTTTTTTGGATATTTTAATTTGAGGTGATTGATGAAAAAATTGATTTTGGTGCAACAGTTTCCAACTTTTGAAAAAATTTTTTGATATGGCTGGATAAGCTGTAGAAAATCGAGAGTAAATTTTCACTACCAAAGTAAAGAAATAAAATATATAATAAATTATATAGAATATATTTCGCGGGCAAAGTAAATTTCTTTCATCAGAAATTTATTTCAAGGGTAGTAAATATACCAACGTTTAGTTTATTTTTATCACGAACGGAATTAATGAATATTAACGCGTGTTCTTATGTTTATGAAACTAGAAAAATTTCATCATAGTCTATCTAAAAAATTTAATGTTATAAGCACGTATTTCGGTGAGATTTATTGTGTGATAAACAAGTGTAAATTTTTTGTGCGACCTTCTTATAATTTTCATCCCACCTCTCTGCTCGTATTTTTCTAAAAACTCTTCTCCTACTTCACGCATAATTATCACTTTAGTTCAGAGCAAACTCGCGATGCGCATAATATTTAACGACCAAAATCTTTTATACTGTAAATATTTGCACCGCGAAAATAAAAATACAAATAAAAAATTAAAAAGTTAAATTTTAACGAGTCCATGTATTTAATACTGGACATTACTTGCTTTCAGTTTTGATTATACTCACAGTAAATACAATGCTAGGTAGTAATGTGATGATACTGCTTTATTTGTACATGCAAATAAATGTATATAAACCGAAGGACAAAATAAACACTCCTATAAGGAGAAATTTCTGTCGTGCTGGGAGGGTACAGAACACATTGCACTGATGAGCCCATGTACCTGCTATTTGGGCGGAACGCCGTTTTTCAATGTTCTTTCTCTTTACTGTACGCGAACAAAATTTTAGTGGCTATTATTAGCTAGCGAAGCAATTGGTTTTTTTTCTGGAACATAGACATATATTTTTTATCTGTATACTCATTTAAATTTTATTTCTTTATAACATAAATTAACTCAAAAAAAAATTTGTTTTTATTGACAATAACAATTCCCAAGTTCCTGTGAAAAAATTTTCTTACATCATCATATTTTGGCAAATTTTAATATCTGAAGATACATGACCGGATATGACTATATCTATATATAGCCTGATTTTGTCATATATTACCATATCAGGTTATACATATTAAAAATATAGAATAATTTATTGTAATTTTTCAGTTTGTTAATTTTTATAAAAATGTGAATGTCAGTTAATATGTCGTGTTAAATAAAAATTGTAATAGTAGTTAATCAAACTAAAAATCAATCGTAGAGAAGCTTCTTACACTAATTCTTCTTAAACAAAAATTATGTCTAGGCAAGGATTTATTGACTCAAGAATTGGTTAAATTGAACATTTTAATAAATTAATTTTTCTTAGAAAAAGATATCAATACCTGTTTCCATTATTATAAGTAGACAAACGAGTATAAAGCTTCACATGAATCAAATAAAAATTATTTTAATTTATTTGACCAATTCTTCAGAATAGAAAAAATTCTCCAGACAAAAAAGTACATTGTTGAAAATTTTCAAGAATGTCCGTTCTTGTATCAAGAATATAAGTCCTGAAAAAAAGTATTTTTTTTTCTCTGTGTCTACGGAAAAAAAAATATATTTAAAATTACGATTGCAACATCTTGATTTTTAGTATAGGACATTGTAGTGCCGGACTAAAGCTCAAACATACGAATTTATACGATGCAACATCGTAAATTCGTTTGAAGGAATTGTACTGTTTGACTTTTCACACTTCAAGAAAAAGTACGATGTTACTGTAGTAACATTGAAAAATCGATATAGTAATATTTCCTGAGCAGCGAAGCATTAACTACGATCGATAAAGTAGAATTTTTTCCATCACTCAAACTAAAAAGAAAGAAAATTTTTAACCATATTTAATATAGTAATTTGTCATTACGACAAATTAGGAAAAGAGAAGAAGAAAGGGTAAAGGAAAAGGAAGGACCAATCGGTGAGCATCTTTCGGTCACCGAAACATTATTTCAAATTGTGTTCTGTAGGTAGCAGCATCCTAAAAATTTTTTTAATCTTTATTTCTTAGATCATTCGTCAGAATTACGATGTTCAAATCGTACAAATTCATGAGTAAATAGTAATTTTTGAAACATAAAATCACAATAGTTAAGATAATGAAAGACTAGACCCAGATTACGATATTACTATTGTAATTTTTACTTTAATTTTCTTTCCGTGTAGGAGAGTAAGAAAATTTATTTGTATTTTAAAACTCAACTTTCTCATTAGGAGACGATCTAGCGATCATGCGCTCTATGTCTGATATTTTTAACACTACATTTGATATAAAAATTTTATATAAGCACGTATGACCACATATCTTGCTTGATATGGCCGCATATCGTCATATCAGTCAATCTTAAAAAATTTTTTTACAGATCGTTAATCAACTCGATTAACAAACTTATAAAATGATAATCACTTTTTGTACAATTTTATTTCAACACATACAACAAAACTGACTTCGCATATCAATCACAATCAAATCACAATCAAATCACTACGACTCAACGACTTGCGCAGGCATCAACTAATTATATCACCCACACATTACAAATCACATCTGTGATTTAATTAGTGACACTTGTGGAATTATTTATCAACAATTTACTCGTCATCGAAAGCAGTCTTGTAGAGTCTATCAGTCAGTTTAGAAGTAAATATAACTCTATTATCGACATCGATTTATTAATTAATGTCAGTCATGAATAAATTTATTGAGTCGATAATTTTCTTGTTGGGATTAATTAATCTCATTAAAGCAACACCAGTGGCTGATAATAGAGATTATTGGAATAAACGTGCAGCGATATTGAGTGCAGAAAAAAATAATTTTATAGGCAGCAATTTATTACTCAGCTCTGATGAGCAGTTAGCTAATGAGGTATTGGGTAACCTTAAGAAGGAAGAAATCGATCAAGGTATAAACAAAGTTATTTTTAAATTATCTTGCTTTTCCTGGTAATTGCATCTTAGACCGTGAACTTATTGACTATCCATGTAATTATCGACTTCAGGCGATGAATACAAAATTTTTACAATCACAAAATTTCTATAGTAGAAAATTAAAATTAGAATTTTCTGTTACTTCAACTCTTCAGTACCCACGTTATTCGGCTCACGATCATACGATCTAAACTCATATGTCGGTGGAGCGCTTGCCGAAAAGAGCCGATCTACGCCGTAGGGAGCCGAACAGCTCGATTTTTAACAACCTTTAATATTCTCGCCATGAGAAAAAATCTCATAGTCTTCAAAAAAAAATTTTTTTTTATTATTGATAATGAAAATAAATAATTTTTTGATTAACAGTTAAAAAGAATATAAAATTTTCGAAAGGTAAAAAAAATTTCAGGTTGTCTTTCCATTTGAATTAAAAAAAAAATTTGGAAAATCCAAAAGTGCACGCCTTATAACGCTCATTCATTTTTTAAGAAAAAAATTAATTGTGTAATTTGATTAAAAAAAAAAAAAATTATTATTAAGTAATTTCTCACAGAGTATTTTTTATTTTTTTTTAAATATCGGCGCCCTTTTTTCTTGTCATATGCGCACGCAGTCTAAAAAAATCTAGCTTGATCAAGTGGCGCTATAGTTTTCACGTGACAAATAAGAAAAGTTCGTTTGGCTTTGTACGGTTGTATTGTAGTGAATTTTAATAAAAATTCAATTTAAAAAAAAATACGTAACCTAGGCCACTGATATGAAATACGGACCCAGTTAATCGAATTCTTAAACTAATAAAAAAGGTCCGGTCCTGAAATATCAATTTGTTCGGGAGTAATCTTTGGTACATCCAAAATGAGGTGACATCCGGACGTCCACGTAAAATTTTTTTCAAAACGTTTTTTTTTTTTCAAAATAGCAACATGAAATGATTTTAGAAAGTAAAAGATGGTTTAATTTAAGTGTTTTTTCGGTGTACATCTACTTATATCATTGTATAAGTGTAATATAATTGTGATAGAGGCATTTAAAGATCACAAAATTGCTTGACCTTGACGAGTCGAGTATATAAAGCACATCCTCACGCGCTTCGCGCTATGAGGCGTGCAATAATTAAGATTGATACCAAGCGTGAGTAAAATTCTCATAACCTGGGTACTGAAAGGTTAAAAGAATAACCATGTTATATTTAACCATCTATCAAAACTCATGCGTCAAAAATAATAATGAATTTTTTTTTAGTTCAATCAAAAAAAAAATATTACTTTCAAATCATCAAAAATATGTAAGAAAATAATTTTTTTTGTCAAAGTATTATAATTAATCGATGAAGCTTTTCTATATAGAGTTAAATTTTTTTTAGAATATTTTTTTGTATAAGAAAAAAAATTATCAGCGGAAATTTTCCATCAAGTATAATTTCAACATTTGTTACAAAAAAAAAAAAAGAAATGATTGAACAAATCAATTTAAGTTAATTTGAGTGACTTATTTTAAAGCTAAAAAAATTTTTAGTGCGTAGTGGTTTAAACCATACCTTCTCTGTAGATTTTAGATAAATTTTTCAAAAGGCATCTTTCGATATTTCAATGAATGTAAAGATAACAGAGAAAAAGTTTTGTAATTGAAAAATGTAATGCTATGCGGAAAAAATGTGATATTATTTTATCGCGTGAATAAAAAATGACGGGAAGTCTACGGATGCCATGTCATTGACATTTGCAGTAAACGATAGTTCGCTATTTATACTTGCAATAACAATGTAATAAGAAAAAGCTATGATAAAGATAACTGAAATTGAATTATTGCTTCACGTTATTCTAAGAATTCAAAACTTTGTGTTGAAATAGTTTTTGAAGTCAAACATTTTTTTTTAATTGATCATTAAAAATAATTAACTTTTAAGCATTGTAGTAATTTAATGTTTCATAAGAAACATTAAAGTTATTTAATTTATCTTTGGACTATGAAGTTAATATTTTAAAATTAAATGTTTGCAGCGTTTGAAGATCAAACAAAATTTTACCCAGCACGAAATTTCATGCAAGTACAAAGCAAAATTGAAAAATCAAAGGTATTTCGTGTTATTAAAATGATGCCGAAGGGCGCAGTTCTTCATACGCATGATTTATCCCTCGTCTCTGAGAACTGGCTGTATAATAACGTTACGTACCGAGACAATTTATATATATGTAATCAGACTGGAAGCTTGATGCTTAAGTTTTTCGCTGCGCCTCCCAGTGACTGCGACTGGAAACTGCTGAAAGATGTTCGCGAAAGCGCGGCTTCACTTGATGACATCAACACACAAATTCGCGGAGAACTTTCGCTGATTACCGATAATCCAGATGCTGCTTATCCTGATAATTATTTCGCCTGGATTAAATTCCTTAAAGTTTACAAGGTTCTTCGTTCGATGGTGACTTATAGGCCAGTTTTTGAGGATAGTTTTTATCAAGCTCTTCAAGAGTTTCACGATGACAATGTATTTTACTTAGAACTACGTGCTTCGTTACCGACGGTTTATGATTTGAATGGGACTGAATATGGACAAATGGAAGTTATGAAGATTTATCAAGAAGTAGCTGACAGGTAAAGCTTTGTTGTACATGATAAAAATTTGTTTGCTAAAATTATATCCGTGAAAAAATTCTGGTATGGTTTTATATGGCCATATTAGGTTATATATTATGATAATAAAAAGTTAAATTTTTAATCTTGATATATTTTTCTACAAAATGTATTTCTCATGTCGTATTAGGCAAAATTTGGTTCATTAGTTATAATTGAAATAAAAACCAATTTCAGATATGTTTTTTGGAAAAATAAAAAGTTTTTCGTCTTTTAAATAGTTTATTGATATTATATTATAAATTGTTTTAAGTTATAATATTTGTTTTTATTAACTTTTTATTAAATTTAATAATTTTATATGATTTAATATTATTATAGAAAATTTTACGATTTTCAATGATTAGAAAAGAAAAAATTTGATAAAAAAATCTACTTACATTTATAATTTGTAAAAAAACTTATATTTATTTTGGAACTTAAAATTTCAAATTTAACTCTATTATAAGGAGACAATTAGTGATCATGCACCATCCGTTAGAAAATTTCAACACTGTTTTTGATCAAAACATTACATATGGACAGATATGACTTTTTCAGGCCTCATATGGGCACATCAAGTAATAACAGGACATATCAAGCCATATATAATCGTATATGTTCTGATATACCCATATCTGGTATAATATGACCAATTTTAAAATCAGGTCATATTAGAACATTTTAGAACACATTAAAAATCATATATTAACACATCAAACCTTGTGTGGCCATATATGGGGGTGACACGACAAAATCTCCCCGGAAAAAATCTCCCCGACAAAATCTAATTTTAAATAATAATATTATTCCTGACAGTTGTGATCCCGAGTCGAAAAATTTAAACTGATTTTAAGCTAAATGATCTGCATTTGAACTTATTGATCTGTATTTGAACTTTAAAAAACATTTTTATCGGTATTTCATCTACTATTAAAATTATTTTTGATCTGTATTAAGTCTAAATAACCTTTTAGTAAAATAATTGAGCAACTATGAATATTTTATGCTGTTTCTAATCTAATGAAACTAAAAAGTTTTAAAAGTTTGATCGGTTTTTAGTCTAGTTAATTTGTAGATGGACTTTATATATTGTTTTCAAATTCAATATGAAATCTTATACTGTTTTTGATCTACAATTTTCATTCTAAATGTTTGAAGGCCAAAAGTCGACTAAGATGGCGACTTATAATTTTTTTGACTCAAAAGTATCTCGTTAAAAATTATAAGTCGCATTTATTTGAAAAAATAAATTAATTTATAATATATTCATGCGCTCTCTTGTTTTATGAACTGAGCGTCGATTATAACCTTACATCTGTCATATTTATTTGTCATAGCTCAACATTTCATGGATTATAAAAGTTTTGTATCTGCAAAAAATAATTGAAGTAATAACTAAT